GATTGACGGCCTCAAATCCCATGCTGCTCTCCATGTACACATCTATCCAATTTGTTTTTTGCTTCTCTTTTACGTTTGTTGGTAGTAATCTAGAAGATGTTATTAGATTGACTTGCCTGATGATCGATGTTAAACTTATACTTTCAGGTCACTGATAAGATGATGATGAATGCTGAACGCATCTTCCCCCACAACACTCCATGTACAAAGGAGGCCTACTACTACCGAATGATTTTCGAAAGGTTCTTCCCACAGGTAAATATAGCGAACGATTTGATTGTTTATGTTCTTTTTCTTCAACTCTAAAAACCTAACAAACTCTCGTCCATGAGATTTAATACCACTCTAGACCAGATGTTCGCATAGAGACCTAACTCACTATACTTACAATCCGGTAATGCAGAACTCGGCCAGGAACACGGTGCCTGGAGGACCGAGTGTAGCCTGCAGCACGGCCACAGCTGTGGCATGGGATGCCGAATGGTCCAAAAATCTTGACCCATCTGGCAGGGCTATATTTGAAGTGCACCAACAAGCTTATGACAAGCAGGGTGCACCGGTGACTAGTGGAATTCCAGAGATCATCGACAATGTACCTCAGATGAAAGCGAGCACCGTGGGGGTTGCAATCCGCAGCTAGTAATGCCCCGAAGGAGGACCCGAACCCTGAAGTTTTAAGAAGGGTGGTAATCACAGAATTAAGAGGCTTCGCGATGCCTTTTCGATGTAAAAATTGTAATGGGGGCTTGTATGTAAAGTTGAAAGAAAAGGCCACAGTGGTTTCCAAAAGATGTTTGTGTGGTCATATGTTGTAGTATTCTTAAGTGTGTTGTCTAATGTTGTTGTGGAGATGTTTTGAAGGTTAGAAGAACGTCTATGTATGTTTCCTTTTGGTTTCAGTCCTCTTTGTCCTTCACTTTGAATAATAAGACAATGAGCTTGCATATGTTATGGTGTCTTTCTTCTTTTTTCGTCCTTATTGGAGAGCTTGATCCAAAAACTGGTGAATTTGAGGCCACTAATTTGTTTGGATAAATACACAGTATTGCGAATGGGGAAATGATACCCGTACGCTCATTTTTTCTAAAAACGTTTTTAATCATTTAAAAGTATTTTTCAAATGAGTTCTAAATCTCAACCGTTCATTTGTCAAAAACAATGTGCACGGGAGAATTTCCGAACATCCTAATTACCTGTGTTTGCTTCTTCATGATAATAGAGCGGGCTGTTCAAGGCCCATAAGTACAGACATTTTTCTAAGGTCCAATTAAGATTATGAGCGGATGGCACCAAAAAATGTCAAAAATGAAAAAAAAGAATGTGGCTGCTGGGATTCGAGCCCAGGTCTCCACGGCCACAACGTGGAATTCTTACCACTAAACTACAGCCACTTTATTGTTTGTTTCAGCTTAAGAATCCTATACCTATTTTGTGTGAGTTATTGCAAATTTACAGCACATCAAGATTGTCGTTCAACCATATTATAAATATTAATAATATGTATATTAATCCACCACATAATGATGCAACCGTCATAATAAAAAAACCAAATCCTAAAAGAGAAGGCGAAATTTTGATTGTAGGAAATATTGTCAACCTCCAAACAATAAAGTCCAGAGAATACGAAATAGAGAGAATGCAATCTAAAGAGGTTAGGTTCACAAGACCTCTCTCTCTCTCTCTCTCTCTCTCTCTCTCTCTCACATACACATATCTTGAATGTTTTTTTATTGTATGACTAATTGAGAATTGACAATCCGCTAAAGATCCCTACATACTATGTCTTCCACTTGAGAGAATGGCTAGTCTCGAGTCATTGGTGTGAAAGATATCAATACAAGTATATAGGTGTTCAATAGAGAATGAATTCACTTAAGGGATCAAATGAGAGTTCTAATATGGAAGTCTTTACTTACATGTCAAGTAAGAAACTCTAAGGTTACAATAATGCAATTAGTCCTTAGACTTGAGACAATTATCCTACTTATGGAGATGTCTTTGATCATTTGACGATGAGTCATAATTCTTGGGTTTGTTTGGCGCATTGTTGAGGTTTTAGATTTATTCGTAGAGGCATGTGACAATGAATATCTACATTCAATAAAGAACGAAAATACTCTAAGATATGATTCTGAAATCTCATGCAGAGTATTGAATATAATTAAAAGGGTGTCCTAAATAATATTCAATATGAATCATATAAACTTTAAAATTCACATTAGAGGCTTGGCATAAGCTAAACTTGTGCTTTCATATATATGGAGAAGAAAACCTCACTTCAATAAAGGCAAAGATTCCAAAGCCTTTTTCTAGTTGAAAAACTGAGTCATTCACATTATGATAGCCAAATTCCAATTGTGAAATGCCTCAAAATTTCTAATACAAATTAACCATGGAAACCTTAAATAAACTTTAACTTTAGCAGTAAATGATCACAAGTTTCCTTTCCGGTTATAGTAAATAGGAATTTTTTTTTTTTTAATTTTGCCATGCAGCTGCCACAAAAGGACATGGATCATCTACTAAAATTATTCTCCGAGAGTGACATCTTTGCATTCTTCCGGGTGTACGGTACTTTCTTCCTTATGTTTTGATAAATATAAGTGTGAGAGATCGAGCACCAACATGCAAAAATAAACATTCTTAACTACTTGTTTTTTTTTTTTTGATTTAATGACTTTCATAGAATGTTAACAACAACTCTATTCACGAGAACTTCAATAGAGAAGAAGCCAAAGAGGGTCACAATTTCACCTAAAAGTTTTTGTCATAAACCCAAATTCATGAGGATGAAGGTGATACTTTGGATTTTGATGTTGCATGAGGCTTGTACCTATATTTTCCATAAAGCAAAGTAAGCATTGCAAGAATGATGTTCTCATAGAAAGGTACAGTGTCTAATGGGGAGACAAAAGAATCCAACTTTGAGGCGCCTAACATAACAGCACACAGAAAGATAGGCTCTCATAGACATTAGACACCAAGTTGAGATGATCTCACCCCACATTGCCTGCCTCCCTCAGCACACAACCTTGGCCAGTTGGTCCCAACTTGAACTTCATGAAATCTCAACAACGAGTAATTATTGTATGAGTTGTAATGTGACATACTCGTTGGTTGCATTGAATTCACTCAAATTAAAGATAGTATAACATTATTAATAGTAGCAAATTCATGAATTCATCTTTTACGCTTGTTAGATGAAAGAGCTCTCAACCCCTTTAAGACCATTTTTAAGAAAGAGAAATGAATTACGCAAACCTATTCTCCTTGGTATGGTCAATCAAAAGACCATAAATAAATCGATTCTCCTCTTTTTTCTTGGATTCATACATAGGCATACATTGCCTTTCTACCTTACACCAATGTATAATATGTTGTGGCTTTTAAGCGACTCATATACACAAATTAAATTGTATAGAATTCTTCAAGATATATTTACCCGGTAACTTTAGCAATGTATGTCTATACACTGATATTTGAACGACTATATTGAAACTATCAAAATTCAGTCATGCAATTCAATACAATAGTTCATCCCTTACACTAGTACATTATAGAATTTTAACAAAATATTAATGTACTCTAAGATTTTCTCATAAAAAAACCATATTCAACAAAACCCTATGATGATTTGTGGACAAAACCAGTTGCATTCCAATGAGAAAGCAAATAGTGTCAGTTCAGCTTCAAGGCTTCAGGGGTCCAAATCAAAATCTCACAAATCCATCGTCACCAATCCATCTAAATTTTTATCTCACGTGTGAGAGTGAACCCTACCTTCACATGCACACAACAAACCCAAATTCTGAACATTTGAAATTTGATCAAACGGCTACTAACAGAGGCTTTCTTTAAAAGTTATAATAAATTGAACCGTTGCATCAAATTTCAATGATCCGAATTGATGAATTTAGTGGATTTGATGAAAGTGATCAAGATCTTTCCTTTATATATAAGGCCCATTTGTAATTGCAGAACCAAGATTTCAACTTTTATTCTTAAATAATTAAAGGGTTAATCTCTGTTTACTACCCTGAAGTTTCGTGGTTTTCAACAGTTGGTACATGAAGTTTTTTTTCATCCCAGAGTCATACTTCAAGTCTTAATTTTGGGACAGTTTCATACATCCGTTAAGTTTTCCGTTAGAACTTCTGTTAACTGATGACCACGTGAACAATAACTGAACGCCACATGTCAATATGGGCCCACTTTAATATTAAAAAATACAAAAAAAAAAAAAAAGTTTTTAGGCCTCAACCCCCGACTTCATCCCTCCCTTCTCTCCAAAGCTGGAGCTTCACCTCCACCATAACCACAAACACCACCACCACCAAGTTTCTGGGCCTAAACCCTCATTCCTCGTCAAACCCTCCTTCCTCGTTTAAGTCCTTTTCCTCGTTGCTTGGCGTCTCCATTTTCTTCTCTGTCTCTTATATTTATTGTCTTTCAACAAGCTTCAGAAAACCCTAGAGAGAGAGAATGGGAATATTCGAGCCGTTCAGAGCAATTGGCTACACAACCTGCTTCGAATCCACACTCCAGCCCTCCGCCTCCTCCTCCGCTCGCCTCCCCGCCTTCGTAGTCCCCAAGTCCCAACCCCAATCCTCTTCCTCCGACCCTCTCTGGTCCGCAATCTACAAGATCCGATCTGAATCCCCGATCTGGCAACTCTCCCTCTAACCTCGGCTCCGTCTACTTGGGCGAGTTAAAGTCCCTTGGTGGGGCGCATGGGTGCGTATTTGCAGCGAAGGTGATGGACAAGAAGGAATTAATTAGCCAGAGAAAGGAAGGGCAGGAGAGGACAGGGTGTGCAGAGGAGAGGGGGAGGGATGGGGTCGGGGATTGCGGGGGTGGCTGGCGACCGAAATGATGGCGTAGAAGACGGAAGGGAGGAGGTTGGGTGCGGGTTGCAGGGGGTTGGGGGAGGTTGAAGAGAGGTGGGACTTTGAGGCCCAGAAACTACTTTTTTTTTTATTTTTTTTAATATTAAATTTATTTTTTGTATTTTTTAATATTAAAATGGGCCCATATTAACACGTGACGTTCAATTATTGTCCACGTGGGCTCTACATCATCAGTTAACAGAATTTTTAACGAAAAACTTAACGGATGTATGAAACTATCCCAAAATTAAGACTTGAGGTATGACTCTGGGATAAAAACAAATTTATGTACCAAATATTGAAAACTACGAAACTTCGTAGTAGTAAACAGATATTAACTTATAATTAAATTTACATTACATCGTTACCCTCTCTCTCTCTATCTCTCTCCTCCTCCCTGTCTCTCTCTCTCTCTCTCTCTCTCTCTAGTTCCGCTTTTCAGCTAGCTTTTGCCTTATCTTCATTACCAAATAATCTTTCTTCTCTGCAATGGCTCTTTTCTGCTCCCAATCTGCTGCTTCATGCTTAACTATTCTGTGCCTAGTTCTTGTTCAATCCCACTCTGCCATAATATACAGCATGAGGAACCATCACCACAACTTCCACCATCACAGAACAGCTCCAATGTTCCAAACCAATCAATCCAGTTGCGCGTTGTTTGCAGGCACTTGGGTCCAAGACGACTCCTACCCAATGTACCAATCCTCTGAGTGCCCCTTAATCATCGATCCAGAATTCAACTGCCAAATGTACGGCCGCCCGGACTCCAATTACCTCAAGTACAGATGGAGACCCCTCAATTGTGAGCTCCCAAGGTAAGCAAAAGTGCTTTCAAGATGTGATTTTTTTCATATGGGTTTGTGGTGGTTTTTAGAGTTTGAGCTTCCATGGTTAGCAAAAGCACTTCAGAAGTGATTTTGCGAAATGGGGTTTTGCCGGTTTTGATTTGAGCTCCGAAGGTTTAGCAAAAGCACTTCAAAAGTGATTTTGTGAAATGGGGTTTTGCTGGTTTTGATTTGAGCTCCGAAGGTTAAGCAAAAGCCTTCAAAAGTGATTTTGTGAAATGGGTTTGTGCTGGTTTTTGACTGTGAGCTCCAATTGTAAGCAAAAGCACTTTGAAAAGTGATTTTGTGAAATGGGTTTTTGTGAGTTTAGGATTTTGTTTACATTGTAGTGACTTTTGGTGTAGCTGCTTGTTCTTGGTAGGTTCGATGGGGCTGAGTTTCTGCTCAAAATGAAAGGGAAAATCGTGATGTTTGTAGGGGATTCACTTGGGAAGAATCAATGGGAATCTTTGGTTTGTCTCATTTACTCTGCAAATCCACAAACCCAGACTCAAATGGTCAAAGGAGTTCCACTTTCAACATTCAGTTTCCTGGTGGGTCTCTGATTAATTTGCTTTGCTTGTTTCTGGGCTATGGTACTTTGTTTTCTTGAAGCAATTATATTCAAATTCAATGCCAAAATGTCTTCTTGAAGCAATTATATTCAAATTCAATGCCAAAATGTCTTTTTACGAGGAATATTTTAAACTACTCTAATTTGCGGAAAAATGAGATTCAAACTTGAGTGCGAGAGGCGAACAAATTGCCCTAATCAACTTTCCATATCACATAAATGTGCATCAAGGCATTTTCATACACTATTATTGTTGTAGGAACAAAAAGATTGCAAGTTCATTTAATAAATGAACAAATTACTTTCCCATTTTTTGACAATGATTTGAAATCTGAGTCCAAAAGAATCACATAGGGAAACTGTTTGAGGGACCCTTTGGGTCAGTTGGTGAAGACAGCAGGATAGCACCAACATGTTCTTTGTCCCAAAAAAGTCATGAGCAGGGAAATGAGAGCATCATTTCATTTCAATCCAAACAGGACCTTATTGGCTTTTGCTACTATAATGCAGGACTACGGTGTGACACTTCAATTTTACAAAGCTCCGTACCTGGTTGACGTAGAAATTTATCAAGGGAAGAGAGTTCTGAGGCTTGAGGACATTTCGGAGAACAGCAAGGCGTGGCGGAATGCCGACGTTCTGTCGTTCAACACCGGTCATTGGTGGAGCCATGACGGAGGTCTCCAAGGGTGAGCAATTCATGTGTTTTGTTTAGCTTATGGTACTTTTGTGCAATGGTAAGTTTAGGGTCAAATTCATAGTCACATACAGAGTCAAGCATTTGGTAAAGTGGGATAGAAATAGTGAAAATGACTTCTAGATTATAGAAGCACTTTTTGAAGCAAAAGTTGTAAAACATTTTCATGGATTTGTCCAAAATGTTTTTGACATGTTCCAAAGCTCCAAATGCTTTTGGCTCGTCACTTTGGTGTTTTAAACCTATTACCTGTAGCGAGTTATATAAATTTGAGATACTAAAGTGGTGGTGTACTCGTTTAATGTAAGTTATTCTCGACATGGAGAATTGGTTTGAAATTTAAGATCATTGTGTTTGTGTTGGACTTTGAAAACGTGTAGGTGGGATTACATGGAGTCAGGAGGGAAATATTACAAAGATATGGACCGTTTGGCTGCTTTGGAGAAAGGGATGAAAACATGGGCTAATTGGGTTGATTCCAACATCGACACCGCACGGACCCGAGTTTTCTTCCTCTCCATTTCTCCCACACACTTCGAGTGAGTCTCTCCTTCCTCCTCTTTCTCTCTCCTTCCCTCCAATAATTGTGTTTGGTGGAAATTACAATTTTCAATTTTTCAGGGTTCATAATTTATATGTTGGAATTTGCTAGGCACTGCTAGCTCCAAGCTCCAAAAATTTGCTCCATTTTTTTTATTATCTTTTTGGGTTGCTAAATGTTGACTTGATTCCTACCTTCTATTTAAGAGAAAATTTTCAGTGTGCCGAGAAAAGACCTACAGTCTGGTACACCAAGTATCATAATACATTTGGTGTTGCGGGCCGTGCTCTTGCACACTGAAAATCTCTCTGTATTTAGGTCGGTACACTAGCCATAGATGGTGGGGTCTAATAACTGGACGAAGATATTTTGAAGATATTGTTGTGTTATAGTTCCTCAGTTATTATCCAATTCTCATCTTGGTCCTGGAATTTAGCTTTAGAATTCTATTATCCTCAAAAGTTAAACTATGTCACTTTGGTCCTTCCGTAAAAAATTATTTACTTTTCAATCAAAATTTATAGGAACAAATAATAGACTTTCGACGGAAGGACTAAAGTGAGAATCGGGTAATTTAGTGACTGTGGATTGTGTGTTTATGCTTAGAACATGGCATGGATTTTTGTACATGGTAAACTTGACTAACATGCTAAATTGACAGCCCAAATGAATGGAATGGTGGTGCAACTCCTAGAACCACCAAGAACTGCTATGGAGAAACATCACCTATGCAAGTGAGCGGAGTAACTTATCCCGGGACAACTTATCCAGACCAAATGAGAGTGATGAACAGTGTGATCCGGGACATGAAAATCCCTCCATCTTTGCTGGACATCACAATGCTTTCAGAGCTGAGAAAAGACGGGCACCCATCAATCTACAGTGGAGAATTAAGCCCTCAGCAGAGAGCCAATCCTGACCGTTCAGCAGATTGCAGCCATTGGTGCCTTCCTGGACTGCCAGACACTTGGAACCAACTCTTTTACACAACTTTGCTCTTCTAATTTTTATTTTATTTGCAATCTAGTTAATTAACAAGTTATTTAGGTTTTATTTTATGTTGTGATACATTTATGATGAGAGAGTGCGAAATTTGCGGCTCTATCTTGATACACTAAGTGTAGTAATACAATTGGTTGAAAATTTGAAAAGAAATGTTTCTAACCAATTGTATTAATACATTATTATACCAAGCTGTGCTTTTGACACACTGGAAAATTTAAAATGAGGTTCTTATTTCCTCATCATTTTTTAAATTATAGAATTCTTTAACGTTTTTATTATTTTTACGTTTCTCTTGGAGGATTTTTTTTCTCTTTACTCATTTTCATTCCTTTTTCATTAGTTCTAATTTAGGTTCAAAGCAATTTCACTGAAGTCCTCTTTCGTGACATTATAAGCTCTAAAATATATTTTGCGGAAGCATATTCCCGCGACAATTTAGCCAAGTTAACTAAAACAGTGTGTTCTTTAATCTCGATAATTTTTTTTTAACCAACTCTATATTTTAGCTCTTGATAGTTGTGGATTACAGAAAGTGGTGGATCAATTTCAATTGGAAAGATCCACCACTGACTATTGTTGGTTCAGTTGTCAGTATGGACCTATCAGGTCGATGCTCGAGCTGAACCTAACCTTAGTTTACCCTATTGTATTGTGATCAATACGGGCTTGTTGTGGAACATGGTTACTGGGTTATGGACTTTTTCTTATTTATGAGCCCAATAAAGTAAATGTATACATCTTACAAATCTTTAGTGGGTTAGGTTACAGATATGCCATACATGTATTTTAGACTGGACAAATGGTTTTCGCACATAATTATTTTCGTTCGTTGATCTCTTTTGAATTTCAATGCCAAGAATAAACAGGGGCTGGGGAGATAAAGTGGTTTGCGAAAATTACTTCCCTACTGTATATATTGTAGCTATTAGAACAAATATCTACTTTCAGATTAACTGTATTCTCCATGTCAAACTCCATCTCAAAAAAACCCTCAAATTCCCAATTTGGGGTTAATCACATCCTAATTACGGAATCAGTTTTAAAATGATTAGATGATATTACGCATTTAATTCACCTCCTGCTTAAGTAAATATCTGTTAATTATTTTTGTGATAATTAAAGAAAATCAAGAATATTCTCATAATATCTCGGGGCATATTCGTATTTCTGCCCTCTCCTCAACTAGTCTATAAGGAGGGCTCTTAGATAGGAAAAAACATTTTGTAAAACTTTCCACTAGTAAATCTCTCTAGTTTGCCACTTATTATTATGGTATAATAGTATTCTTCTTCACTTGTAAATGAGAGGTCTTAGTTTGATTTTCGCCCGAGTTTAAACCATATTATTGCTAGCTCATTGTGAGGCTAAGACACCCCCTCCGCTTAGTGTAGATAATATCGTTTATTAAAAAAAAAAAAAAATCTCTCTCTAGTTTAGCCTCTAGGATTATCACCTCAAACCCAAACCCTTGGAGTTGTAAAGGTAGGTATAACTACGTCAATTTGATCCTGGTACAACTACACAAGGTATGTAGGCATCTAACTGGTTAGATACAACCAAATCCTCCTCAAGGTGGCGTTCTTGTTCGTGATTCATGCAAAAGTATGCAAAAACGAGACAACAATCTGAAATTCGTTAATTTTGTTAAGTATGTCCTATAACATGTTCCATATTTATTGCTTCAATGTCCAACAAATTTGATTGAGAATGACATTGACATTATACTTGCTTGTTATATTGCAGTATTTTGTGAGGAGTAATACTAGGGAGACCAAATTTTTTAAACCAAACGACGTAGTTGTAAATGATTGGATTATTAACTAAAATTAATAATAGCACTCAATAGTTTAGCATTTTCTTCAAGTAACTTGGAGATCAAGTAAACTAAAATTAATGGTAGGCATGCTATGGGGTGAATTTCCAATTTATTTTCCGTAATTGGCCAAATTATATACTAGTCGTACGACGTATCCAAACTGCTTTAACCACAATCTACTAGGTCATGATTTTGTCTTAACGAGCATTAATACCGTATGTCTTCTAGTTTCCATTTCAACATTCTAAATATTAAGTAGTGAGATGTGGACATACTTTACTCCTGGGTAAATAATTCTTCCATCCTCAGTTTGTTCTTCTTGATATAGTTCAGTATCGTAACTGGAGCTATCAAAATCAGCATTCTCACAACTTCCACAGATATCACCGTAAAGATCAAGCCGAGTTCCTGCAAAATGCCATATAAGAAAGTGGACACCAATTAGTCTGGTAATGGTGGATTTCATTTTGTTTGGGTGAAAAGGGGAAAAAAGCTGAACAACATTACAGATACTTTTAATGGCCTTGCTTCGGCGGAGCATTCTTCATTAACAGTTTCTGACACATAATGGTACCCTAAAAATCAAGGAAAGTATAATCCACAAACTTCAGCCTTTCGGAAGGTGTCATCTTTGAGAAACCAAATGAAGTCGTCCATGTGTTTAGCACACTAGGGACGGCGGGCAAAACCAATCTCTCCACCCCTAATTCCATAAGCAACTGACAAAAAATGAAGGCAATAATGAGAAACTGCTGGAAAGAACACTATAAAAATAAAAACAAGCACACACAGAGGGTGACAAACAAACTGCCGGAACACTCAATACGTTACCTTTTCAAGTTCATCCATTAATATACGACACATTCCAAGTCGACGATATTGAAATCTGGTGGCCACAAGAGGAACTTCTGCCACCTTGTCTCCAAAAATCCTTTTGAACAAGAAACTACCAGTTTAGAAACAAATTAATTCCGCAACAAAGCTCTCCAATTCTTAACTCGCAGCGAACTGAAAGCCTCACCTTACAGTAGCCACAGTGATTAGTTCATCATTTCTCTCCAAAAGCACAGTATAGAGCCCTTGGAAGTTCAGGCGATTAAGATGAGACCTGCAAAATTCCAAAAACAGGTCTTCAAAAGTGAATAACAATTCCATGTAACTATCACTAAACAAAAAATTTAACAGTGAACACAATTTTTTAGGGGAGAATGAAGAGTCTCATGTGCTAAGCTCAAGTATTAGCAGTATTTTAGCAAGTGAGGCACGCAAAAGAAATTTTGACAATGACAGTACGAATATCACACCTCCTGCTGAAGATGACATCTTCTACAAGATCTCTCCCGGTAAGAGGTTCCTTAACAGGCAGAAAACACTCATGAACCAAATCAAGAGCAATATTGAGCCTGCTGTCCGTCAAGGCATCATCAATATCATGTTCATCAGTAGCATGAGTATCACACTTATTCAACTTCAACAGTGACCAAGATAGATTGTCATCACCTACTGGAATTTGTTTTCCTAAACGCTCATGAAGGCTGAAAAATATCTGAAAACTTGAAACAGTCAATCCAACGTTACATGGAGAGAAAAGCGAAAGAGACAAGTAGCTCGGGATGGAATGTTATAATAAATAAGATCCATAATTCACCCTAAAACATCTGACAGAAAAACATGAGACTGAACTTATTTAGAATAGTTTAACTTTTAATTGAATTTAGAAAGGGTAAAAGCGATGCTTCTGAATTTTTTGCAAATCAGGCTGGGAAACAAGCAACTAAAGAGTAAACTACAAAACATTGACGGCATTTTGAGATACCTTTTTACAGTTTTTGCTGCAAAACCAGTTTCCTTTTGGATCACTTATGTTTTCATTTGCGCCTCTTTTTCTCAGGCACCCTTTGTGATCTACATCAAATAGTGGAAAACTAAAATTACGAACTTTTTGAAGACGTGACCACAGACACAAAGTTCACAGGCATGCATTTGCTATAACAGATGAAACAAATAACAAGCATCCTACATTTATGCTCGCATTGGCCACAGGTGAGAACACAACTATCATTCATGATAGACTCTTTCTCTTCTTTGAAGTTCATATGGCCACAAATTCCACAACGGCAAGATGAACAGAACCAGTCACCTTCTGGAACAGCCTGCAGAAGCAAAAACATTTAAGCCCAAGAAAAGAAGTCAAGAATCTCAATCATTTCTGACAAAAGGGTTAGAAAGACGAAATGAGACAATTCACAGAGTAATAGAAATACTCATAGAAAACAATCTTGTGAAATGATGATGGACATTGATCACATAAAATTAGGTCACCACCAAAGTGGCACACAGTACAAATGTAATCATTCTCGCCTCGACGCCAATTGCCCTTCATCCTATCACATGGTTGTTTCCGGAAGTTCCGCTCCCTTCTTCCATGCATAATTTGCACCTGGAAATCCAAGAGAGACCTACCATCTTCCAGAAAAATATTGGCATAAGGTCTGTGGTTACTACTGCCAGCGTGATGCCGAAAGGAACTAGGAGTATGCACCTCTTTGCAACAGCAGCACCTGATCCCCTCATGAGTTATCTTCCCTTCTTTCATTGGATGACTATCCTTTGTGCGCCGATAATTTACTTTTTCCCTTGGAGAAACCATGTTATTGTCTATCAACCAAGATAAAACAGTGCGAGGATTGTTGTGCGAGGAAGTCGCTTCCTGCACCTGTTTGCTTGACCTAAGCACACAAGTTGGCTGACTACCACCCAGTTCATCTCTTGACCCATTCAAATCTCCAGATCCCTTTCTCCTTTTCAACTTTGGAAGGTTGGCACATTGATCCTTTAGAAATCTTAGTTTCTCATCACCTATTAACTCCTCTGTCGATCCATATTTTCTCTTTTTTGGGCGTTTTCTACTACCATGAACTTTCACGTTACCAAACTCCACAAGATTACTCGCCTGTGACATACTAACAGTATCTCTAGAACATTTTTTGGTCAGAGTTTTTGACGGTACAAAGGCTTCATGATTACCTAGATTACGTGCTGCAGACCATATTCTGTTTCTAGTCGGCTGGCCCTTGTCTTCCTCAATGACATACATGCATTCAGCAGGTCTCTCTGCAAAATCTCCATCCATACAGCTGGTGCATGCACTCTGAAGTGTAAGATGCACCACTCCTTTGGGTGAGTTGTAGCACAAGTTCCTTGTTTTTATGCTTATGTACAAGAAAACCCACCCCACAGCCGAGAGGTGCTTCTTTGCTTTTGATCTCATTTTTCGTACTTTCTTCTTCTTTATCTTGCCCACTGCATGGTTATAATATTCCACAACTGCTTCATGGCAATATTCAGGTCTGTAAATAAATTCCTTGTGGTAAGAAAACCCTGACCTCTGAGGACAATAACTTGGGTGCTGACTCTCCCGTGGTTGTTCAATGAGAAACGGCTGCTCTTCTGAACAGTGCCTACCCTGGGTTGCTTTTTCAGAGATTGAAATATTTGTATCTCTCTTGGGTTTCTTCAACTTCTTACACACTTAAAAAAGAGAGTACTCATATTCTCCTCCGTCAGGAGACAAGTACCGGTGTCTATACTTGCCCTTATCGATTGCAAATTCCATTTTCCACTCTAAATATTGAAGATGCTGCCTAACAGCTGTCCCTATGAAATTAGAACGCTTGTCCAAATATTCGTCAACAGCAACAGGGCAATATACAGCTTGAGAATCCAAAGGTAGCCAATTAAGGGTACTTTTGCTTCTGGATTTAAAACTACGAATTCCACCATTTCTGATACCAGAATTGACACATGAATTCCCATCACGATTAGAAGGAAATGCCGACAAAACCTGAGGTAGAACAGACACGCCTTTATCTGGTAATTCATCCCCTGACACAGAGATCAATTTATCCATATAAGATTTCTCTTGAACCTGCTGCACACAGGCAGAGTCTGGATTAATAGACAAACCTCCATTTGGGGACGTTGGATTTTGCATGGATTAAGGGGGTTTAGTGGGTTAGAGAATCTCAAGTTAACGTTTTCACATAAATGAAAATCAATGTATGGCGGTGGGGATATAATATCTATTAATTAATAAAACATTAATTATCAATTAAAATCCTATGAAATTACTAGTTTAACTCTTTAATTAAAATAGAACATGAATAAGAAATATGGGATAGAAATGTAATTTCACACAACTAAATTTTGCTTTTTTTCTTCAAAACCTCACCTACATGTAATCCTAACATATTTCTAATTAAAAAAAAAAAAAAAAAAAAAAAAAAACTTCTCACTCTCATATTCTCTATCACCTTCTTCCTTTCTCCTTGTATTTCAAAAATAAAAAAAAAATAAAATAAAAAATAAAATAAAATTTCTCACACTTTGTATGTGTGCTAGTAGTTGTTTATAAAAATAACAAATGTTGCCGTTCATGTTTGACTTACATAGATGGGGATAATTTATTGTATTTGGGTTGAGTTTAATACTTAATTAGTGATTGATGGATTGTGTAATCTAGGGGTGAGCACAGGCCGGGCTGGGTATTGCAAATTTGATCATTGGAACCGGACCTAACCTGACCCATTTCAAACGGACCAGTTCGGGACGGGTCCACTGGTCCTCTTACTTTTTTTTTTTATTTTTATTTTTTTAATTCCGGTTTTGATCTTCTCTCGGACTCGTTCATCCTACAAATCTTCGACTCGATCTCCGACATCAAGACCTTCATTTGCTGCCACGTTGTTTCCAAGCGATTCAACTCGCTCATCCCCCACACAAACTCGCTCATCCTAAGCGTCGACCGCGTCATTTCCTCTGATTCAAACTCCAACTCGAAAAGCGACGATGTTTTGCACCTCTTCGTTGCCTTCCTCAAACGGTGTCCCAAAACTGGAGCTAAATAAGACGACCACCGATGGTGACCATTTGAGCTCTGAACTTGACACCGATGGTAAGATCATGCACAGGCTAGAACCTCTTCTCTGTGAATTGCAATAGCAAGCAAGATTTTTCGACACCTACAATTCTAAACCAAAAACCCAAAAGTTTTAAAACCTCAATTCTCAAACCAAACAAACAAACAAAAAATAAAAATAAAAATCAGAAAGCTATGGATTGGAGGAATTGAAACCTATGTCGCCGATGATGATGTACTTGAAGAGGTAGTCGTAAGACTCCATCCTTAAATCACTCAAGGACCTCGTCTCGGCCAAGCCCGACCTGCTCTCATAATTTGCCCACCTAGATCCTCTGCTCGTTCCACCGCGTTCGAAACCTTTCGATAGAGCTCCCTTCGGGCAATCTCCGGTTCGGGAGGGAGCAAAAATCGGCGAAGCTGCGTAGATCGGAGATAAAGGCGTCCGAAGAGAGAGAGAGAGAGAGACTGGGGGAGAGAGAGATTGAGAGGGAGGAGATTAAGAATTGACATATCCGAAAAGGAGGATTGAGGAAAGGAGAGTCTTCGAGAATGTGTAAGAAAATAGGAGAGGAATGGGAAAATGTTTCAAATGAGCCTGTGTGGGTACCCGTTTTTCTATACTTCTAGAATTGGCCAGCCCCGCCCCGCCTTGTTTCTCTTATTAAAAATTTGGAACCGGCCCGTACCTTCCCCGAACCTTGATTACCCGCTCCAACCCACTGTTCCTATACCTTTTTGTCGTAATCCACCCGATTGTGTACATTTGAGAAGAATGATTTGTTTCCCAATAATTTACTACTTCAACTTGACATGTTAATGTACGGCCTCTATCCAATTTCGTGAACTAAAGCCCTAACTATTATTTTGATGGTTCTCAATCATAGTCCCATAAAAAATTTATGGGACTATGATTAAAACCCGTAATTTTTTTTTTTTTTTTTTAAGAATTTGCTTTCTTCTAACGGCTACGAATGCGGAGAAAAGTAGACTGCAACAGTAGTAGGATTAAGAGTTGCCCAAAAAATAAATGTTGCAAGTGTAAAGCAAATATAGGAATTGCATGAAGAATCTATGTTTCCTCATTCTGAGTGCACGAAATGCTTAATTTACATCTAATAAAAAAATTCGTATGTACTTGTTGTATTATTCTATCACAAGTATTATTATCAAATCAACCCACAAAATATATCGCATAACTTAATTTGGCATCTACACCAAATATATCAGGTAATTTATTCGTACTTCTTAATTTTGATTAGTATAAATATACTTTTTTTTTTTTAATAATACATCTAAACTTTCTTTAAGTTTTTTTAATATGAATGCATAGAATGTCAGCTGCAACATCTCATCATATCTAGTATATTAGTTTAGGCATTTAGAAGATGTAAAGATCAACATTCAGATTGGATCTTGTAATCAAAGGGAAATTATATGTATTTATGTGTTTAAATCACATAATATTAGAATACACTAAAAAGAATTTTCTTTTTACAAAACTAAGTTTAAGAGGTATTTATAAATTTTTCTTTACTATGACAATATATTTACAGTAAAGGGTGAGAGATTTGAATTTAATGATTTTTATTCGTCGCAAAGAGTTCACATATGTACAAGACTTAATTAGAGTACAAGTTAAGATACCTCAGCTTACGAGTCGACTCTTGAGTAGCGGAGTGAGATCTGGCAAACAGTTGCATGATGACCAGGATTGTTGCACACAATACTGAAAGTAGGAGAGGAGATCGGAGGTGGACTCGGGGAGACGAGGAAGACCAGTAGGTGGTTTGTTACCGATTACAACGGCTTTCTCCTCGACTAAAACCCCCATGACAACCATTTCCACCACGACCTGAGAAGAATTGGTGTTGCAGCCTATTTTACTCAAGGGTGCGGTGCGGCAAAAAGAGAGAGAGAGTTGAAGAATATCCGTCATGTGTATTTTCTATCACCTGTGCCTCAAGGATTTATTGCTTACAAGTAATACAATCCTAAATTAATAAGATCTACCAGTATTCTAATTACAGTCGCCACTTGTAAGTGAAAGGTATTTACTTAATCAAACACCCTAAAAATTATGAGAATATTTCATTTTGGATTTTTTATTAGCACCCCACAAAATGTTGAATGCACCCCACATTAAAATTTAATATTAAAGGACTTATTTACCCTACTATGCAATGACAATTTTAACCTTATTAGATTTAAAAAAAAAAAAATCGATACACACTCCAAATCACTTTTAACGTATTATTTATCTTCTTCAACTATCAAAACCCCTCCGACCCTCTACTGTTAAACAAAACCCTAACCAATGAAACTACAAACATGTTGATTGAGAAGAATTATTTTTGATGAATGAAACACGAAATCGATGTTTCAGGAGCTTCACATGAGGTAAAACTTCGTATTTTTTATTGTTTTAGTGATTTTGACGACATCGATAATTATTTAATCTTGCTTTTGATGAGTTATTCAAGTTTCTATGTTCGTATTCATCTTTTAGAGATCACAGAGATTACATGAAGAATTAAACACCTAAAATTACCACCAAATATTAAAAATAGACGACATGGGTTTTAATGGTGGAATTAAAAACAATCCACATATGCTTTAAATCTCAAGCGGCATCTTTTGTCAAAATTCCAGTCGGCAATTTTTGTCCAAATTAAAAGCTTGATAAGAATTGAGAAATATGGGGTGTATAGAAAATATGGGGTGCATGTAGAAAATATAAGGTGTATATTAAGAATGTGGGGTGTGACGGTATTATGAGGAAGATGTGGGGTGTATTAAGATAATTTTTAATTGAAAAGCATATATGTGATGTATTAAGTATGTGAAGTTTATTCAACAATTTGTACGGTGTTAATGTAATAAGCCTTTCATTTTTGTTTTCTTTGGTTATCACAAAGATAATTAAGAGGTATTTACTTAAATCAAACACCCTAATTTGAGTGGGCGTAAATGGGAGTTATGATTTATTTAATTGAATAAACAAATTCTACAATCACAAAAATATTAAACGACAGTCATTGTACTTAGTATGTCAAAATTAACTTAAATTGCAACAATGAAAACTACATCGAGACTGAGACTTCGTCCAAACTACAAGGACTAAAGTCATACTTTTACCAAAACCCCATACTAAACTTAAGTCCAAAGTAAATGAACAGAAAAGAACTTGTTTGGATTAGAGCAAAACTAAAAGTACAAAACAAATTAAACAAAATAAAAATATTAAAAAACAAACGTGGTGCCCTTATATCCCACATTGTTCCATCTGTATAGCTCACAAGCATACTGTCATTAGCCCATTTAACATCATCAATTAACAGACCCTCTTCACTAAGCTTTGAACCTCTCAAGCCCGACCTTATACCCAACACTCTTTATATCTTGCTGCACTTCGTTCTGAAAATCCCTATATGTAAAGGGCTTATAGTTTGAGCTCCGAATCACACTGCCTTCTCCCGGAAACACAAAATGGCAGATTGAAATTCTCTCTTTGCTTCTGTTCACCTTCACTCTGTGCTTCACACTCTTGTACTTGTCATTGCTTATCGCCTAAAACCAAAGCACAAATTCCGTCAACAAAAACATCAATCAAACAAGAGTTGTGCTACAGTTAGTCGCCTACACGTTTGTGTGATTTTTGACCAAAAGTGAAGCTTACGTCTCATTTATGGTCAGAAATCTCTCACACGTGCATAACCAACCGAACTCACCAAAAACCCAGGGAGTCAATCATGTTTAATCATATATATGACCTGCATCATGTCTCCGAGGTTGACAATCAGTGTGTTGGGAATTGGGTTAACACTGAACCACTCATTGTCTTTGAGAACTTCGAGTCCACCGACTTCATCTTGATTTAGTATCGAGAGCACAGAGCTGTCAGTGTGCACGTCCATGCCCCTTGCAGATGCAGAGCTGGAGTTGGAGCAATGTGGTGGGTAGCGATAGACACGTACAATGCCAGTAGAATTTGATAAATGGGATTTGGATTCTATTGGATCCAATCCAAGGTTTATTACCATAGCGTCAAATATAGTTGTCGCTAGCCTAGCTAGGTGCTTCCCATATTCTTCTAGCACAAGGCTTTTGAGGCACAAAGAAATTATACCCTTTGTTTAACAAGTTTATGTATAAACAACAGAAAAATATTTGGCTCTTTACATGTAAAAAATTATTTATCGTTTCAAACTAGCAATTATATATGATTATTTATTTTCATATGTCAAACTGTAATTAACTGTTAAAAACAAATTTCTTAGATGATTTCTATAGTCTTCTAGCACAAGACTTATGAGATGAAATATATATATATATATATATATATATTATTTGTTACAAAAATTAAACTAGCTAGCTCTTTACATATAATTATTAATTTTTCCTTCTGCATGAAGCACATTTACTTTTGTATATGTGTGACATTACAATCTATGGTTACGGAGGAATGATAGATTCTGGAGAAATGACTCCTCAATCGTAACAGCAACACAATGTTCTAATGAAAATAAGAGCAATCAACCAAAAGAAAAAGATACAAAACCTTTTTTTAAGGGTAAAACCATGCTTCTCATCTTTTCTTATTCTAGGCAGTTTTCTTGTCTTTCTTCAAAACGTTATAATATTCTTATATGTAAGAAGTCATTTGTACGTACATACACCTTTCAATGCGAATACAATAAAAACAAAATTGAATTGGGTCAAAATTTCCAAACCATACTTTACAACCAATGAAAAGAAAGATACCTGAAAGAAGCAATTATGCGATTGTCAATTTGAAATTGACTGAGTTGAGCTAGAGGGACGTTGAGTCCTTCAACCCAGTTGATATTCTGGAGGCTACTACTACCCTTTGTTGATAAGGCCGCCCCAGATGGAGTAAGGGCAGGGGTACCCCAGAAGTAGGACAGAGGGCTGGTGATAAGGCTCTGTTTGGACTCAAACGGCAGGGAAAAAACCATTTTGGCATGCTCCCGAAGTTGGGTCAAAAGGGTTGGAGGAACTCCATGATTGACCAAACGAAAAATTCCCCAAAACTCGCATGCCTCCCCAAGTTTCAGGCTCTGGAGATCCATCAAAGGAATCGGATCCTCCGAATCATGAACCGGGTTGACTTGGTCATCCAAATCAACGGCCTGGGTTGAATCTGGAAGTGAACGAAACGGTGGAGGGTAGGATTCAGAAGCCATTTTTTTCTCAGAACAATGGAGGTCATCGTCTTCTTGTTGGGCAGGACGCTGCTTATTAATTATCATAGCAAACTGGCACACTGAAAAATCTTCCAGCCAAAGAATGAATGGGACGGCGACCTTTTTTAGCGAGACAAAGGTCCATTTGTTTGTTCTACAAGTGGGACCAGGATGTTGTTTCTTTCAAAGATTTTTCAATGTTTCAGAATCACAACTTGTTAGTGTATTATGACACTTGTAGTATTAGATCGTGTCCGTGCATGCTAGGCAATTTCTCTTTTTTAAAGAGATTTTTTAGTCTGTTGGGATTATAACTCATCATACTAAATATATTATGACACTTAATGTATCGTGTTGTGTTTCGGCATACTAATTATTTATTTATTTTTTTGAATATTATGGTGCCGACACGGTCCCTGTGGTCCATTCTCCAACCCTAGGCAAAATCTATGAAAAAAGAGGGAATGATGGATTGGAAAGGTGGCTCCTAAATCGGTCATACGTCTGTTTGTGCACGTGTTATTTTTGGACTAGGATTCCCTTCTTTTTCTATCCTTTTTCATCCTCTTCTTTCACAGTTTTTATTTTGTTTTTTTTTTTTATAAAAATAAAATACAATAAAATATTGATATAACTTAATCGTGACCGTTCAAATAGAAAGAAAGAGAAGAAGAGAATCCTTCTCCGCTACTTTTACCACGCAATGTTTAACAAGATGTTGATCGGATGCGGGAAGGTTTGAATAGTTAGATTGCGATTGTCAATTTAGTCAAACAAATCAAGCCATTAATTAAACTGGTGCATGGAAGCATGTTACAAAACTTAATGCTTATGTTGTTTGAAATTTATTGTTGATCAAGATGATTTTTAGCATTATATATTTAATTTGACAACGTAAGTTCGTTAAAAAAAAATCATAAATGGTCAAATATATTACACATAATTAATGAAATTACACTTAACACTAATGTACTTGTACAACTAATACAACTCATGTACCAAAAACTAATGTATGACAACACTAATGTACTTATACAACTCATGTACCAAAAACTAATGAAATTACACATAATTTGCATATCTACAAACCAATGAGTGCCTATAATACGATATTGTATTGAATTTTAAAATCTAGACTTGTAACTGCCAAACTACTTGTTGCATAACCAAGGGTTAGGCCATGTCTCGTTAACAAATCAAAATGGGTAGTGGTGGTAGTGGTTAGATCAAGTTCACCCGTTTTAGAGGGCAAGAACAAGGTAACGATAAAGGCACTGAAATTGTCATTACTACTCATTCTAAACAATAATTGCCTTAGTAAACTGATGGATCTACGAAAATTTAAAATAAACTATGTTTTGCTAGCTACTGAAAGAGGAACACGACGTGCTGCTAAAAAATCAATTACATAATGACACGTGTCTGAATAATTTAAGTTAAAAATTATAATTGGACACTTGCCCATTTGTGATTAGGCATGATTCATTTAAAATTAGATGCTTGAAAGGTTTAAGTTTTTTAAAGTAATCATTCAAACAGTAGTTCAAATCGAATAGTACTCCATTTGGACTGTTTTACTTAAAACTATATTTATACGTCCTTCTCAAATCTTTGCTATGTTTTATCGGACCCACGACCGATCGTTAAAAGTATTGAAAGTTGCCCTTAAGACAATATCACATGCTTTTATTTTTACACTCATAATTTTTCTTTAAAAAAAAAAGAAAGAAAACTCTTATTAATGTGGCTTTCGCATTCTTTATACCCCTTAATAATAGTATAAGAAAAACTTACAACTCATTATTTGCACTGGCGGAGGCACATGAGGATTAGAGTAGTCCTAGGCTTACCCTAATTTTAAAAAACAAGATTAGTATTATACTTATTTATTGCTTTGCAACCCTTCTCAACACTTAACACAAAAATCCAATTATTTATCTATCTTTTCATCCAAATCTCATCCCAAAATTAAGTATAATATATCAAATGGTCATTATCACAAACCAATGACATTAAATTAAAACCCATTATTCACTTTTAATTAAAAAAAGTCATCTTTCACTCATGCATTGGCAAAGCTATTCCCCCTATTCTTCTTGAATTTCATATAGGTAGCCATTCCAAATCCCAAATTTATTGAATAAAGAACAATAAGGTTTGTGAAACTTCATTATTCTCTATAAAATATTTGTTTCTATTCTATCCTACCTCTTCCTTGAGTTTTAGGGTTTGCAAAATTTTTAGTAATGTTCTCTATTGAGTTTAATAATACTTCAAGTAGTATAGATGACATCATGCAATGGTTTCAAAATATGAAACTCGTCAAGAATACTTATAATTACTATAAATAGATAAAATTATCTATGCATATGTTAATTTTGACTACTTAATTATTTGGATATATGTTAGGATGTTTTGCATTAGAAAGTTTATAATCACTATTGGTTTAGTTTTCTTCTATACTTGTGTGAGGCCCCTCCTCACAATAAATCCTGGCTCTACACTGATTATTTGCCAAAGAAAAACGAGAGATTTTTTAGTGTGCTAGATGTTAGACTTTATATATTTTATAAATAACTAAAAACACTAACCTGAGAATCCATAAATTATGCTCAATTGATAAAGTACTCGAAGTCAACATGACATGTAGGAAAGATGAACCATCTTTGACAGAACCATGCGGAATAAGATCAACCATGGACTTCTCCTTCTGCGGAAATCGTATTGGAATCCTGTGGAATAAAATGTTAATTGACCAAAGACTTATGCCCACTCAACATTCCTTTATACTTGAACTAATGAGGCGTTCATATGAGTTTCTATGTGTTGTGAGCAGGGACCTTAGCCTTGTATTTATATGGACTTAACCCCAATGAATCTTCCCATAATAACGTCATTAGGATTCCTTGCGGTCCAAGGATAATTGACACACCAAATCTCATTCCAAATATGATAGAATTAGGAGCCTTTATTCCCCCAAGGAAATCTGGAATATATTAACGTTCCTTAAGGTACAAGCTATAGCTATTAACTAAATCCTAGACTTATTTATATTCCAAGTAATCCTTGAATTAACTGTGTAGACCTATTAGTCATTGGATTATGATCCAATGTCCAACATTCTCCCGCAAAGTCAAACAGTTAATTCAGAAAAGATATTTAATGGATTTATAAGCAAGATTACTTTATTGGCCAATGAATTTAGTCAACTAATAAGCTTCCTACATGTTCTGTCAAATGGAGTTTACTTATCTAGAACTATCGGAGGCTATGAACTTGGTAGCATCCATGAGCTCTTATAATCACTGAAATAAGCTCTCCATTCACATGAAACATACGTCCCGGATTTGGTAGTTAAATGAATCAAAACCTGAATTGAAAGCATCAATTCATTCACTTATTGGTCCTCCTTATTAATCTTTATAAGATTGCCTTATGATTCCTATGAAGCTCATAAACTACAGAACCAACTTACTTTTGTGTCTAACAAAAATAGATGACACAACTCTTTTTGCAGTTTAAGACATTCACTGCTCATAAACTAAAGATTAAATCCATACCTTAATGCAGTTGTTAATCATGTATGGCATGAGTGTTATAACATGAGAATATTGTCATACATGCATACAAATTCGAAAATAAATAGTGGGACAATCATAGGATTGAAAACTGGACAATCCTAATAAAATCTAGAAAATTTCAATTGTAGCATGCATTTTTTTTCCACAAACTTGACTTTAAAATTCTAGGGAGAAACATGCAAATATAAAACTAAGTTTCATACTCAAATCTTTACAAACGTATATTAGCGTAAGAACAACTCCCATGGATCTTTAGAACTTAGCATGTGTGGCTTAGATTCAATGAGTGTGAAGCCCAATTATTTATTTATCAATTCTCCCACTTGGGCAAACACTTATTGCATTTGTTACTCTAAAAAGCATATAGGTAAAAATATATATATATATATATATTTATTTATTTATTTGTACTAGTATAGAATTTCTCAAAATATATTAGTAAAGTAGTATACTATACCAAAAACCAAGATTCCAGCTTGGGGAACTACATAATTAATGTATAATTGATTTGTCCCAAAATCACATAGACGATACGAAAGAAATTAAACTTTATAAAATAGAATATGAAATTATTCTAGAGATAAAAGATAGCTCAAATTTTTCAACATATAAGAAAACAATGAAAACTCCAATCTTGACTTTCAACTGAGTACATGTTACTAATAAAATCACCATAAATAGAGTACACCACCAATGAGCACGAAATTTTCCAGTCTATAAGTAGACATATATATGAACAACATATCCAAATTTCAAGTCATTCTGAAGTCATTCAATCATTCGTTTGTTAAACTTAATTGAAACGATGAAAACTGCCAGACTGGACTTTCAACTGAACACGGGTCAGTAATAAAATCCCTATAAATAAATTACACAACCCAAAATCATGAAATTTTGCAGTCTAAAAATAGAAATACATGTGAAGAACTTATTCAAATTTCAGGTCATTTGGTGGTCAATAACTCAGTCGTTTGTTAATTTTCAAATACATATTCCAGCAGAAAAAGTTTTGTGCATTTATGTCAACTTGATAAAACCACCAAAAATTCAATTCTTCATGTATTTTCGTAATTTTGGTGTCCAAAGAAGCTTTAAGAAGTCTACTTCAACATATAGCTTTGTCATGAATAAATCTTGAACCATAAAGATATGCAAATAAATAACATAACAGCAGATTTCAATGTGTACCTTAGGCAATTGTGATTATCCTTCATGTGTTCAACAACATATGCACCATTTAATTTTGAGAAGAGAAGACAACACATAACAAACATTAAGTCACATAGCCAATCTTGAAGAAATCCAAAACTTTTAACAAGATAAACATACAACCATCTTTGAATACACTGTAATATGCCACTTTTGAACTGAATTAAGGCAAATTTAACCAAACGTGTATCTCAATCCAAAAATTAATTTAAACCAATGAAGATTACATTTGGTCGAGAAGCCTTAAGACCAAAACAAATTCTATGTCATGCTTTATTGATCCCAATATGGGATGTAAGGGGGCTCATATGAAAAGCATTCAAAACTTTAAACATAGAACTATCATGACTTTAAATTCACAAATGAACAAATACCCCATAGACTTTACAATTGAAACAACTCGCACCTTTGTTTGGTTGAAGCTTAATCAGTTTTTAGTGTTAAAATATAAATCATGTGAGCAAAATATAGACATGAAAACCATCCACCTTTGTTTGACAATCAGTTATCACAAGCTTCACATAATCTATACTTTACACTAAGCCACTAGTAATTGAACCAATAAGACTAGTCACACCTTTGTTTGGGGATATAATCATATTGTTATGACTACTAATGCAATTTGATCAACTAAACTTTCAATTTTTAGCAGCCTTTGAATCAATGGAACAGATTTGTTGTTTCCCATTCACCCAAGAACATCTCAAAAACATTGATCTTATGATAACTTTTAGCATGTCTTAATAATA